TACGTTGGTAGTTGTGGAATTTTTTGAAGTCGAAACGTTTAAAACCGATTCCTTTGGACCATGAAGATTGTAGATTTGATCTTTGTAGTTTTCGCTAATCCCAAACATAAAACATTTATTACGTTTTTCCTCAGTCGGTAGTTCCTTTACGATAACATCCGCATCGGAGAATTGTTCTTGATTTTTTACGAACTCTTGTATATTTACAGATGATACATGCCGCTTAATTCTATAAAGGTATAACCAAACTTGACGCTCGGCACCAAAATCACCAGACTCCTCATTTTGTCCAATATTCTTCTTCATAACTCTGTTTCTTTTTATTTTCTTATAATGCACTGTTGTAAAATCACTCAAATCCTGCACATGTTGTTGGGCATCGGAAATTTAGAGTCCTGTCCCATAGGCAAAGCGAGATTAATTATTTCATCTATTTTATTATTTTGATATTCGCTTTCCACCTGTAGGTTAGGTGTGTTTGTTGACAAGTTATTTGTTTTGTATACAAAATTGTCGACATCTGATTGAATTAGTTGTTTAGATTTATTTTCAATATTTTTTTGTGGGTCATTAAGTTTAATTGGTATTTTATTTTTATCTTTGGTGTGATAGTTTTTTAACTCCGTCTTCAATAAATCGACTTTTTCTTGCAGCAAATAGTTATTAGATTTTAAAAGTTCATTATTATTTAACAGTAATTTATACTTATCTTCTTTTTCCTCCAATAAGTGCCTTAGCACTTTTATTTTCTAACTGCAATAGATTCGTGGCTCAGTAACATCAGATTGTTTTTCACAACACACCATACGCGTGTCACATATTTTAGAACATTTTAACTTGCTTTTAATGGCACAGTAAATATGATAACTCTTTCCGCACATCACACATCTTATCGTTTTATTTAGCTTAGCATTACAACATTTAAATGTTTTGTCTTCAAATGTTCCCTCATCTATTTGAGAGAAAAGTGACTGCACATTCACTCCGTCCCCCATGTTGACAGCCTGAATTGATTGCCTCCCAGCTTTATCAAGAATTGTTGTTTTATATTATCCAGACCTCTTTTTCACATTTTTAATCTATCCTTAAATAAGGGTGAATTTCCAGAATGCTGGAAAAATAGTTTTTTAACACCCATTTTTAAAGCGGGATAATTCATTGGTGAATAATTGTATAATTAGTCCCATTAGTATAATTAGTACTACTACGCAGATGACATTGTCATAGTAACACGACAAACGACCTGATACAGGCTTCTGAAACATTAGAAAAAGCCGCGAAGACAATGGAATTGCAGGTTAACGTATCCAAAACAAAATACATGAAGGTCACGAACAGCACACAAATAGCGGCACCACAAGATCTGGTGACAGAAGCACACACATTCGAAGGGGTCTCGAAATCTATATATCTTGGAACACAACTAAATAATAGCAACCTAGTAAGCGTAGAAATTAAGAGAAGAATATACCTGGCCAACAGAGCTTACTTTGGACTAAAACAGTTCTTAACATCACACATAATTAGCATTAGGTTTCATTAGTATCTTGGTTTTCGAGATATTTTAAATAAAGTGGGGGACAGACAACTTCCGTGATTTAATCCTTTTGATATTATAAATCCTGTTATTATTTGTGTCCCTGCTTTTATTTTTGTTATTGGTTGGTTGTATAGCACTTTGACAGCTTTTATTAATTCTATATTAATATTCGTGCTTTCCATTGATTGATTCCACAGCTTCTTCAGTGGAACGCTGTCGTAGGCTTTCCGTAGGTCGACGAACAACATGAATCTCTTGATTCCGTGCCATCTTTTTTTCTATTATCTGGGTTAAAGAGAAAATGTGGTCAATAGTGAATCGACCCTTACGAAATCCTGCTTGTTCTTCTGCTTCATAATCTAAGTATTCTCTCTCGATTCGGTTCTTTAAAACCCATATAGCATAAACCTCTAAAATATAGCAAGTTTTCCAAGCTAAAAGCAAGGCAATGATTATTTTTTTTATAAACTGTATCAACACTATTTCGCCAGGGATAATATTTGCATTGAATACAATATGACGCTAAGATAGGTTCAGTGCTTCTTGGCATAAAACTTCGGCAATAAATAATAAATTATCAATCAATTCCTTGCGGTTCGCTTTTTGACCGATATCTCGTTTTTTTGGGGGGTGTGTTTTGCGCTAGGGGGATGATGGTCTAGTTGGTGATTGGTCAATATACCAATTAACAGCAATTAATTCGCAATAAAGTATGCCTCCAAGATGGGCCCTGTCCTTGCCGAGAGAGCCACTGTTTCTCGGAAACTACTACAGCAATAATTTTGTTTTTTTTTTTCTGTAATAAATTAGCAATAAGTTATAGTGTTGGTCTGAATTTGGCCGTATAAAATTGATATGCTAACTTTACCGACATTATTTGTTTGGTAATACCCTATATAATTTGCTGGTGACGAATATGTACAACTTTTTATTCAATCTGTAGCCATTATTTTTACTACATTAACTCTCTTTGTTTTTAATAAATCAAGAAGTTTATTTTTTTTTTAATTTAGGTTTGCCACAAGGATCTGTCCTTGCACCATTATTTTTTAATATATATACTACTAATTTATACACCTCCATATCTAAAGAAACTATTATACAATATGCCGATGATTTTGTTGTTTATACACGTAGCAAACATCTCGACGAATGCATCAATCGTTTGAATTCAAGCACGAAACTCATTTTAAGGTCCATAAGGGATTTAGGACTACAAATCTCCACAGAAAAATCCAAAGTTATAAACTTCACCAGGCATAACATGAAACCGATGCAGAAAATTACAATAGATAGTATAGAATTTCCGGTGGATACCAATGTCAAATACTTAGGAATCACATTAAACAGAAAATTGACCTGGAAACTTCATATTGAACAAATAGAGACAAAATGCAATAAAGGACTAAACTTCTTAAAATCCATTATGCGAACTTGGTGGGGTGCAGAACCTCAAACAGCTCTAATCTTCTATAAAGCTTACATAAGATTAATAATTGATTATGGTTGTATACTTTATGGAGCAGCCAATAAAACAAATCTACGTAAGCTGGATATTATACAAAACAAATCACTCAGAATATGTCTGGGAGCAATGAAATCTACACCAGTTGAACCGTTATCATTTTTAGCTGAAAAAATGATTATTAAGTCGCTAAAGAAAAACTCACCATTCATTAGCAGCATATACAAGTTTAACGAATACGACCTAACTAAGCCTTTTTGAATTCATAAAAACTCTCCTCCTATTTGTGATGGATTAAAAAACGTGACCTTAAAACCACAAACAAAGGTAGGGACCGACTACTTTGATCACCTTGTTTCCTGTGATGTGAATATACCCCTTTGTTCGGAGTTAGCATCATTTAATAGTATAGTCATAAATCAAATTTTAGAGGAACATCCAAACTACGTCACTATATACACTGATGGATCAAAAACACCGATGGTACAGGTTGCGCTTTCGTAATACCTAAACGTACACAGAAAAAATATAAGTTAAACAAAAACACATCTATTTTCACAGCTGAGGCAATAGCATTTCTAAAAGCATATATGAACTAGAATATGTTCATCAGGAAGAGGATCAGAATGCTATAATCTTTTCCGATTACTTTCCGTTCTTAAAATTTTAAAATCAAACTTAAACACAACCAATGACATTATTTTTAACATCCAAGCAATACTTACACATTTACAAGATCAAAATAAATATGTAAAATTCTTCTGAGTCAAAGCACACGCAGGAATAACAAACAATGAAATTGCAGATCAAATTGCCAAAAAAAACATAGTAATGGTAGAACAAATAAATTACGAATTAACCACAGATGAACAAATAATCGTGCAAAACAGAGAATGATGAAGAAATGGTCCTTTATGGTAAGAGTGCAACTTTAAAAATCCAACACGTTACACCAGACTTAAAACCAAATTAAGGAAAAAACAATGAGTACGATTACAGTCAAGTATAACTACTATCAGCAGAATGAAGTTTCGTCACGCATGTTATCCAGCACATTTATTTAAAATAAAAACACTTGAGAGTGATCTTTGTGAAGCCTTTAATAAAATTGGTGACCTGGACCACATCTTTTTTGATTGTTTAAAAACTATGCCCATTCTAATGAGCTTTTCAGAAAACTTTTAAATTAAACATTGAAATATACTGCATATATCTGCATTAGACAGAAAAGAAATTTACGATTGTTTGCTGCCTTTCGTCAGAACAACGAATATACAAATATAACCACCTTTGTTGATACCTGATGTCTTTCCTTAATGTATGTATACCTATTGGCCCCTGGGCGAGAAGAGTGTAATCCTTGTATTGTATCTGTTTTTAAAAATGTGTGTATGGCACACATAAAAAAGTATTTCTTCATACAAAGACCACACCTCCTCTTTAACTCAGTCCTTAAAAGTATCATACTGTATGGATGTGAAGCATGGCAGCTAAACGTATCCCTATAATGTCACTTATTGTTCTTAGAAATGGATATCTGCGAAGATCTGCCAGGAAATCAATACTGGAAAAAATACCCATGGACCAAATACAGCAAAATTAAAAAACTATTATTGACGAAATTGAATGCAGATAACTTATTTGTTATGGTCATGTACAAAGAATGGATGATGGTGAGTTCCTAAGTAAATAATAAAATGGGTACTTGAAAGAAGAAAAACCAAAACATACATCATTAGGAGGCGTTCAAAGAGCAATGTTGGAGAGGAATCTTCAGGCTGAAGATTAAAACGACAGGCGAGAATGATAACTAGGAACCGGAAGTTATCAGACGCTATGAAAACTGGGTGAAAGAAAAAATAATAAGTGTGAAAGAACCTAGATTGTCTGAATGACAAAGAGGTTCAAGAAGTTTCTTTTAATATGTTGTATTATTTGTATTTTTAGACAGTAGTTTATACTGTTACACTGTAAACATTATATTTTATTTTCCAGCTTATTTCCGATGCAGGTTTTCAAGGAGAAATAACCAGCATTTCGACAGCTGCTCAACAACTGGAAGTATTTTCAAGAGTTCTTAAAACATCCATCACAAGTTTTCTTAGCAATCCAGAAGAATGGCAAAATACTAGCAAAGAATGTGCTGTAAGTTTAACTCCAAAATAAGTTTACAAATTCTAGATCAATGTTTTTTTTTAGAAAATGGTGTGTCATGGACAACATACATATGTATATAGCCAAGTGATTATTCATATTTTGGCTCGTGAGTCAAAGGGAGGAAGTAGCATGAAAAGATTGTCACAAGAGATTACTAAATGTGCTCAAAAGAAGTAAGTTAAACTTATGGTGTTTTTAAATTTATTTATTTATTTATTTAATACATGGGATAACCCGATTTAGAAGATTCCGTATATACTCAATATGATTTACTATCGTTACTATCCTTGCCGTTAAAATACTGTTGCATATTCTTCTAAACCGAATTAACAACAAGTGCGAAGAAATAATTAGTCAAGAGCAGTTCGGGTTCCGAGATGCCTTGGAACTAGAGAAGCACTATTTTCTATGCAAACACTCCTTCAACGATGTTGGGAGGTAAGAAAACCCGTATATATGTGCTTCATTGATTTTGAAAAGGCATTTGATCGCGTTCAGCATACCAGACTAATTACCGCCTTGCAGAGCATCCAACTAGATGAGAAAGACATCAAACTTATTGCCAAACTTTACTGGAACCAAACAGCCATTATTAATACCAACAACAGAGAATCAAAGCCAATCAGTATTGAACGAGGCGTAAGACAAGGCTGTATACTATCTCCCACCCTCTTTAACGTGTATTCTGAGAATCTATTTAGGGAAGCTTTAAAGATCAAAAAGGAATTATCATAGGAGGAGAAATAATTAACAATATACGGTACGCCGACGATACTGTGATTCTAGCTGAAAACATCGACGATCTGCAGGAGCTAATCAATAGAGTTGACATGGAATGCACAAATTGGGTACTGTTGATAAATATCGATAAAACTAAATACATGGTGACCAGTAAAGTGGATATCGGCGCAACCCAACTGATATTAAACATGAATAAAATCGAGGCGTTTGAGATGTGGTTGTATCGAAGGATACTAAAAATTCCATGGACTAGCAGAACCAGAAACGAAGAAGTTCTTCGAAGAATGGGACATCAACGAACTCTATTAAATATTATTAAGAGGCGTAAACTAGAATATCTTGGACATATAATCAGAGGACCAAGATATGAGTTCCTTCGGCTAATTCTCAACGGTAAAATCGAAGGAAAGAAATGGATAGGTCGGAAGAAACTCTCTTGGTTGAGGAATTTGCGGCAATGGACAGGTTTGACAGCGGACCAATTGCTACACGTAGCGCAAGACCGAGATCAGTATAACAATAATATAAGCATGGTAGTCGCCGACGTTCCGTAGGGATATGGCACTCTAAGAAGAAGAATATTGTCCGCATATGTTTTTTTAGTTACACTGATGTTCACTTAATATAAGGAATTCTATGTGGATCTCATGAAAGTGGAGTATTTTAGTTACACAGAGTTTATCACATATTTCATTATGGAATATAAAATCAGACATAAAATTATATTAAAAGCAAAAAATTGCGGTTAAACTGCTTTATATTTGGAAAAGACCAAGAGTTAAGGTTTGATTTCACATATAGTGCGTCTGTGTATCCGCTTATACGTATGTCGCCCTAATAGGGCTCTTCAGAACGGCTATTCACAGTCGCTCTGAACGTGAAAATAAATATTTCCTGTCTTAGTAGAAGCAACTCTAACATGGCTTCGTATGGACGCAAATAGCGACATCTGATAATAAATCCGTAAACTAATTTTTCGAAACCAATTCAAATTTCTGCTTTAATCTGTGCCTTCTAAGAATTGCAAGGCAAACAGACGTTGATAAAGATGTTATTATGTGCTTTATATTTGTTTTTCTTCTTCACGTATTCCTTATGCTCTATAAGAGCATTGGAATATTTTTTTATAATCACTAAAATACAAGTTTTTAGTGGAAATGATGTTACTCCGATTACAATGGCATTAAATGGAGCATCTGGTTACCCTACTGCCTGTCAAGCGCTGACTTCGATGTTGTCTAAGAATACATTGAATCCAGCAGATATAACAGTTTTATATAGAAATTATAGCGGTCCGGATCCACCACCTATTGATCTCGTCAGGACACCACAATTTTTAGGTAATATAATTTTTTTTCTTGTGAAGTATATTTTTTTACTAATTAACAAATGCATTTAGACAATAAAATTTATACCATAATAACTTTAAAACTTTCAAAATTAAATACACTTTCTATCACAATAAACAATATATTTAGCCCAGTCTGGTTAAAAAATGTCGAAAAATTTTTCGCAGATATCTGAAGCTTTTAAGACATAGGTGGGGGTTACTAGATGACGAATACATGAAAAAGTACTCGTATTTTTACCTTAACTTTTTTTTAACAATAATTAATGGTCACAATTTGATTTTTTGTTTATAAGTTTTTTCCATTATATTTTACATAAACAATATATCTTTTTATATCAAGAATATCTTTACTTTCCCGTTTTTTAAATTAAAATTGATAAATAATTTACGGAGATATTGCAAAAAAGCAGTTTTTTGCACCGATTTATACATTTTATTAATTTTTTTATTAACAAAATAAAATGTTATTATACATTTGAACATCGAGGAATTACCGTCTTTTAAATTTTTGCGAAATTTCCCCCTGATCTGTCAAATAGTTTAAAAGTTATTTAATTTATTTATCCCTGAGGCTGAGGCTTTATTTAAACTATTAAACTTGCTTTATTAATGAGGCTAGACACATTTAGCAAATTTCATAGGATTGTTTAAGACTTATTATTTACAAAATAAATGTTTGAAAAAGGGGTATGTTTTTTACCTATAAACAATTGTAATAACTATATTTTTCAAGCTACATACTTGTACGTACAACTATTGGATAACTGGTAAAAAAACTCACATTAAAAAAATAAAAAAACCTAATATGATCATTATTAACGAAGTTAGTGACCAAATTTTGGAGCGTGACAGCTGCTACTCATCTCGCCTTTTTACGCATACAAGATATATTAACTGTTTTCTATTATATAGATGACCTTTCTTCTATTCACATGAATACATATAAAATTTAGGAACATGAGGACGGTATACTCTGTGATTTTTGGAGATATTTAGATTTAAAAACATAAATAAATGTTGTTACCGTCCTACTACTGTACATATACATATACACACATATACAGGGTGGTGAATCGTCAAACGGGCCATAGGAAACTCAATGGGAAATTCTAAATTATTAAATTCCTGCTTCCCTAATTATTTTACACCAAAAGTCATGGGAAACTATTTGTAGAGGACTCAAACTCAAATATGTATCGAAAACAAATGTTAAAATTGTTCTACGATTTAAAGGTATTCCAAAATTTTACAAAAATATAATACATTTTTCAGGCCACCCCTAAAAGTCAGGCCAGACGCTGTGAAAAAATGTGTATTACGTGTTGCGTTTTATTATATTGATGTTGCTGCATCGAGTTAGAATCTATGGAGAGGGCATCACGTGACTAAAAACGATCTCACTTCGGCCATATTGTTAATATTGTTTTGACACTTTTGACAGATCGTATATGTTTGTTTACATTTGATGTTTTTCGTATATATTTGTTTTTTAATACTTTTATAGAAACTGTAATAATGTATTGTGATAGTGCATAATGGTTTCTTGTTCTCAACGTAGTTGCAGTAGCAGAAGCAATGTTAATAAAAAATTTTCAGGAATATCGTTTCACAGGTTAGTATACAAATATGTAAACAAAGTAATGGCCCGTACTTCAGAGAATACATTAATAGTATTTGACTGTATTAATTTATCTTTATCTATAATATATCGTGTTTATAGTGTTTACCGTGGGATAAATAAATCATAGTTTATTAAAATTTATTGCACTTTTTTAGATTATGATTAAAACTTCTGAATAACTACTCATATTTGTATAGTAGTTTTAATATTATTGACTCTGGCCCTGATCCCACCACCATATTGGTATTATCGTTAGCCACGCCCACTTACGCCGTTTTTAATACATACGTTCATATGCTCATAGCTTCTCCATAGATTCTAACTCGATGTGTTTCTGATATTTGACAATATTTAAATCGTAGATAAATAATATAATGATTTAAATCTACTATATTATATTTATCTCTGATTTAAATGGCTGACATTTTTATTTTGTGATCTACTATATAAAAAATTATTAAGTTGATTAAAAAATGTACTCAGTTGAGGAGAATAGAGCACTAATAAAAATGTTTTATTCATGTTTTATTATAACATTTGTTATAGTTTTATGTCTAGAAATTATAAATTATTTTTAGGAATAAGGATCACAGTAACACTATATTGGAATTCATTGAATTGTTGTATAACTTGGAACTAAATTTTAGTGTATTAAAATATCTTACGTTAAACGCGGTAGATCGTCAAAGTAGAAAATAATTATAATTAATATAAGGAATATAATATGTGTAAAAAATTATCTGAAATTTAATTTATAAAATATATATGTATTATTACATCATTTATATAAAATGAAATATTTTGATTTTCCTGGATTTTCCGAGATTTATGGGTGATGTCATCCGACACGCCGCCATGTTACCTATCCAACGGTAACTCAAACATCACAAATTATAACTACTAATAATGTAAAACAACTACAAATTTAAATCATTTAAAGGGTTTTGACCCATATATTTTGGTGGCTACTAGCATGTACAACCGTTTGCACTGATGATGGATTGTTTAATCCGAAAACGTTTTGCAATGTGTTTGTGATAGCCCGTTTGGGGCATTTTTATATACCTTTTATAAAGGATTTTAAACAAAATTTTTTTATTAAATATGGAATCTCCGGTATCCCAAAATAGTTGTACCTCAAATTTGGTAAAATTATGACTAACAATTTACGAGATAATTGGTGGTTTCGAGACTTTTGAGCCACTCTGTGTAATGTCCATACCTTTATTCCCACATTCATCTAGAAAATATAAAAATAATTTTGGATTTTGTTTCAGAGCTTCTGATTGATTCTCTCTTCAAGCCAGGTGTTAAATTAAACCCCGACTATAAGCCAAAGTATATTCACTTGTTAGCTTATGCATCAAGTGTGTCAGAAGTTCAACCGAAGAAAGGACAAAAGAGGATCTCAAATAAAGATGAATTGCAACCTACAATTCGAGCTGTAGAAACTGTACATAGTATCTGCAATGGTAATAAAGGAAGTTCAGAACTGATAGCCGAACTGTCTATTATTTACCAATCATTAAAGTAAGTAAAATAATCACATCATAAATTATTTTACATATTTTTACTCCTATTCATTGTAATAGCCATACCCGTTTTCATTTCACTGTTATATTTTTTATGGAAATAAATCGCAATGATTGTAGTTGAAATATTACATATCTTATTGACGTTTCAACTTATTGTAGAACTAGCATATTATGGCATTAAAAGTGGGAAGATTTTGGAGACATTAGTTGGACTTTTTGGTTTGAATCAGAATTAGCTCGAACGGCTGACGATCTAGAGATACTGAAACAACTGTTATATCGTTATATTGATTCTGGCTTTTATTTCATCACAGCAATACTTAGGTGGTCAGATAAGTACTTTGCCTCACCGTACGATGGCGCCACTATCTCAAGAGAAATCTACTATCGTTTAATACATTCTCGTAGACGACTAATGTCAAAATTTCAGCCGAATCGGACTCGGTAGTTTTGTTTCGACCGCGTGTGAAAGCGGGCGTGTCCGCGGATTTTAGAAAAATAGAAAAAGAGCAATATAGCTTGGTAATACGATTCTTGTTTTTGCAAGGGTAATCGCACATAAAGAAAGAGTCGAAATAAAAGAGTGCTTGGATGCTGTGTACGGTGACTCTTCTTCTTCGGTTGCAACCCTTAAAAAGTGGTTTAACGCGTTTCAACGTGGTCGCACTTCGATTTTTGATCAGCCACGCTGAGGTGCCTCGAAATCTACCACGAAGAATAACGTGACAAAAATCCGCGATCTCATATTGGCAGACCTCCGACTAAAGGTACGCAAGATAGCTGAGACAGTAGGCATCTCAAAAGACCGAGTATGTCATATCACTCATATCCCGCGTGAAATTTTGGGTATGAAAAAGCTGTCGGCGTGATGATTGCCGCGTTTGCTCACTCCGAACAACAAGCTCAACTGTGAGACCACTTAAGAGAATAGAATAGAACGTGCAACAGATATACGTATCTGTGCTACGTGAGGTTGTCTTCTAGCAGCACCTCCCAGTTAGTTACATATTTTACAAAATTCTGAGTAGCAGTTGTCAAGTTGATTTCTTTACAAAAGTAGGAATTTCTTTCTTTCTTTTTCTTTCTCCCCTTCCTTTTACCCTATCAGGGTGTCGGATTTGGGCTAGCTATTTTAATTTCCATTTACCCACCTCTTCCATTCTTTTCTGTTTCCTGCCATTATTTTCAATTCCTCGAGTGATTTTTGTTTAAATTTTCCCGCCTCTACTACTTGCTGTATCCATTTTTTTCTTGGTCTGCCTCTTTTTCTTTTTCCGATATTTTTTGCTTCATAAACTTTTTTTGTTATTCTATTGGATTGCATCCTCGTCAGATGCCCATACCAGTTCATTTGTCTCTTTGCTATTTTGTTCATTATCGGTTCCTGGTTGGCCATTCTCCTAATAGTCTCGTTGCTTAATCTATCCCATTTTGTCTTTCCAACTATCCTTCTTAGATGTCTCATCTCCATTGCGTTTATCCTGCTCTTATGTTTTTCCAGAATTGTCCAGTTTTCACTTGCATAGAGCACAGTCGGTATCACTATTGTGTTATATATTTTTATTCTTGTTTCTCGTGTAAGTTCTCTTTTTCCCATTATTGGGGCTAACGCATAGTATAACTTGTTTGATTTCTTTGCTCTATTTGGTATTTCCCAGTCTATTTTTCCATCATCATAGTTATTATACTTCCCAGGTATTCGTAAGTTGATGCTATTTCCAATTCTGAGTTTTTACGTTTTATCTTTATTTGATTATCTTCCTGATCTCCATTGCCGCTGATTATCATTATCTTACTTTTTTTCTCGTTTATCTCCATTTTTAGTTCTTCTATTTGTTCTACCCATATATCCATTAGTTTCTGCATTTTATTCTCGGAATCTGCTATTAGTACTATGTCGTCTGCATGCATTAAGGACTCTGTTGTTACCGGTTGTAATCTGTGGTAACCTATTATTGTCTGTAGTTGATTGGTTCTGATTCTAGTGTTTCTTAACAATTCGTTCATTACTATTATGAATAGCAAAGGGCTGAGACTATCTCCTTGTTTAATACCTCTCTTCCAATTAAATGCTTCCGATCTTTCCCCTGTTATTTGTACCCTTCCTTTTATCTCTTTGTAAGTACACTACGACTGATATAGGAGTAGACGTCGCGCGCTAGCAGATTTCAAATATTGTACCGAGAGCTCAGTTGATCGAGAACCGCTTAGCTGTATACAAGCTGTATACAAGTGTATACAGTTGTATACAGCTAAGCGGTTCTCGATCAACTGAGCTCTCGGTACAATATTTGAAATCTGCTAGCGCGCGACGTCTACTCCTATATCAGTCGTAGTGTACTTTCTATAATTTTTATCAATGCATTAGGTACATTTATTTTTCTCAAGCATTTCCCTATAATATGTCTTTCTATCGTGTCAAATGCTGCTCTTAGGTCTATGAATGCTAATACTAGTTTTTCGCCCGTATCTATGCTTCTTTCTATTAGGTTTCTAATGATATATATATATATATATATATATATATATATATATATATATATATATATATATATATATAATATGTTGTCATTTGTCTGTCTTCCCGGTCTAAATGCCGTTTGTTCTTCTCCCAATACCATTTCTACTTCTTGTCTCAGTCTCTTCTCTATTATTTTCGTATATATTTTAAAACATACCGATGACAGACATATTGCTCTATAGTTGTCGCAGTTTACATGTTCTCCTTTTTTGTATATTGGCACGATGATATTCTTCTGCCAGTCTTTAGGTATTGTTTGTTTTTCCCACGCCTCTTTATATATTTTCCATAGCCAGTTTATTCCTTCTTCTCCCATGTATTTTACCATTTCCGGTTCAATTTCATCGTCTCCACCTGCCTTGCCTATTTTTATATTTGATAATCCTTCTATTACTTCTTCTCTACTTATTTGCTCTAGCTCTGTGTTTTCTTCGCCTTCATTGTTTATATTGTCTTCATTTATTACTTCGGTATCAAATTTTTTCTCATAATATTCTTTCCATACCCTAGCTACTTGTTCTGGGCTTATTTGTATTTGGTTTGAAGTATCTCTTACTGCGTTTATTTCCTTTCGTCCTCCTTGCCTTATGTGTCGTATTGTTGTCCAAAAGTTTCTATTATTTGTTATATATTCTTCCTGAAGTTCTTCTCCAAATTCTTTCCATGTTTTTGCTTTTGCTTGTGTGACTGTCTTTTTTACCAATCGTCTCTGCCTATAGTATTTTTCTTTATCTTCTTCTAATCCCGTTTCAATGTATTTTTTCCATGCTATTTTCTTCTTTTTTATTTCTGTCTTCACTTCTTTATTCCACCATCTTGTCCTTTTCAATTGTTTATTATATTTTTTTATTCCACACACTTCAGTTGCTGTTGTCTTTAATACTTCACTGTAAGTATTCCATCTTTCTTCCATTGTCCATGTTTCTTTTTGGCCCTCTATTTGTCTCAGTCTTTTGTTAGTTTCCTCCGTGTACAATTCTCGCACACTTTCTATCTTTAGTTTGTTTACATTTACTTTCTTATACTCTTTTCTTTCCACTTCCTCTATTTTTTCATCCTCCAGTTTTGCAGTGACCATTCTATGTTGTGTAGACAGTTCCGGTTCCTTTTCCGTTAAGATGGTTTTTATATTTTGTTCTAGGTTTCTCGTATAGACTATATAGTCTATTAAGCTTTTCGCATTTCTCTCTTCAGCCACAAATGTATATTTGTCGTTAATGGTTTGTTCACTGAATGTGTTTCCTATTATCAGGTCATTGGTTTGGCAGAATTCCAGCATTTTAATTCCATTTCTATTTAATGTGTCTTCTCCATATTGTCCAATGCATCCTAATCCCCTGTTAATGTCTTTACCTACTCTTGAATTCCAATCGCCTAAGATTATTATTTTTTCTCTTGTCTCTCTTAATTTGTCAAATGCGTTTTGGAGTTCGTTGTAGAATTCTATCATTATCTCTTCTTCATTTCCTTCTGTTGGTCCGTATATTTGTATTATTCCTATCTTGTCTTTTAGTTCTATTTGGGCTGTGATTATTCTAGATGATACTGCTTCGTAGTTTGTTATTCTTGATTCTATTATTTTATTCACTATTATACCGACTCCTTCTTTTGCTCTGTGACCCTGTGGTACTCCGGAATAATATAGACTATATTTCTCATTTATATTGATGTGTCCTTTCCCTATCTTTTTTGTCTCGCTTATTCCCATTATTTGTACTTTCATTTTTTCCATTTCTTCCGTAGCTTCTATTTCCTTGCCGGTCAGAGATGTCACATTCCATGTCGCTATTCCTATATGATTTGTCTTGTTATGATGTATTTCCTTATTACTATATTCTTCTTCTCCATTATTGGTGTGTTCGTTGATTTCATGCTCCCTGGTTTTTGTATTAACATTATATCCGTTATTTATTTTATTACTATTTTTATTTTTAATACTAATATTTAATTTTTCCCTACCTTCATTACTACTGCTATGCTCATTATTAATATTCCCCCTAGCTATAATATTATCACTACTGTTAGTATACAAAATACCCATATTCCTATCACAAGTCATATTTCTAATAGAATAATTATCATTTACATTTCTAATCCTATTCCTATTACTACTTAAATCTAAACATTTATCATCATTGTCCGGTTTATTTAGTAATTCTTCTTTCTCTATTCGTTGCTCGGCCTCTCCTTGGTTCTTTTTATGTTGCTCTGGTAGTTTTTTGAACACGCTATTTCCAACACCTTTTCTTCTTTATAGCACCATCTCCATTCCTTGCCGTCCACTGTGATTTTATTGTATCCTATTTTGACCATTTTTCCATTTTCCCTCATTTCTCTTGCTTTGTCTCTTAAAGCTTTCATTTTCTCTCTCTCTCCTTTTGTGAGATCCTCTGTAATCCATATTTTTTCGATCTTCACATTCTTAAGTTTGTATTTCTTTCTTAAGATTGTTGTTTTTTCTTCTTCGCTTTCAAGTTCAATTAAGCATGTTTTTGTTCCTATTTTTTGTGCTCTTTTAATTTCAGTTGAAGTAGGAATTTCTTCAGTATTAATTACTACTAAGTTTCTTGCAGCGATGATCTCCTCTCAGAGTGCTCCTCTCTTATCTCGGATAGGTGATTCCCTTTGGGGATGTTACATGTTTGAAACGTTGTATACTCTTACTTCCATAAATTATATACATTAAAACATTGGAGTAAATGCATTTTTTTTGTAGATTTCCTGTTGTATCAATAGGAATCATTCGATGGGTTGAATGTACAGTAACGGAACCTAGCTATTTTAAATTGTCCACAGAACACACTCCGATTCATCTTGCTTTACTAGATGAAGTCGTAACTTTACATCCTCTATTGCACAATCAAGTGCTGAATCTCCTGATTACACTATTTGAGTCCAAACAGGATGAATTAGAAATTTTAGTTCAGGTAAGTCTTAGCAAAGTTATTTTTTAATTCCAATTTGATTCGACTGTAGATATTTCATACTTCTTTGTTTAAAATTCACTTTATATTTCATAAAGGAAACTAAAAAGTAATAAGTGAATGATTAATAGTAGAAGAGTGAAGTTTTTTTAAGTATACCTATAATTTAAGGCCAGGCTCCTCTCAAACAATTTTCAAAAAATCGAAAAAAATTGTTTTCAAAAATTGCTCGAAAGTACTTTTAGGAATAGTATAGATTAGTCCCGAAACCCGCGCCACCTTCAAGCCAATAGAGTAGAGTAAAGAGCCGGTTATTCAACCGGGCCGGATGACGGCAGCTGTTTACTTTAAAGTGCCCCACTGCGTTATGAAAAGGCAGCAGTAGAACTCGTCCGCTGCACCGGCACTCGGCAGTCAGTTGGCTGCCCGTCATGGTACAAAGAATAACAGGTATGATACTCCCGAGGGCCAAATTGGGACGTCACATGAGTTCGCGCATGACGTCACAATGAGAGTGATTTTAAACATTCCCCGTAAGAAAATCGGTGCTCGGAACACAATTAGTTTTTAATTGGCAATAAAAAGTCATTTTATAGATTAATAGAGTCTCTATTGAACTATTTCGGATTTATTGAACTATAGGTGTTCTATTATTTTGATTGAAAAAATTAATAAACAATACGCAATACTCAATAAATAGTGAACAAAAATAAATCTGTAAAATAAATTTGTGAATTTTATTTAAAACTTTTTTTTGTACTCATCGATTTTTAATCCTAGGAAGGTAACCTTTGTAAATTTTACGAGCTCTTTTTTATTGGCTTATCTTATTTGGCGCCAGTCTCAAGGAGAGGATCGAGCCCTTGTCTAGTCTTGTCGACCCTGATTTTCGATCTCCAGTGTGTATTTTTGGAACAGAATACATGGGCGAGTGAAAAAATAAGCTTTGTTTCCGTTTACTATTCTTCTTAATAATTAAACATACCTTATTTATAACTTCTTAAACAAAAAAATATTGTCCATATGAAGTAGGTACACCTACAAAGCCACTATCACTTATAAAATCGCATAAAGAGTTCAAAATGTTCCTAATAATAAGATTTTCATACTAACAAGCCTTCAAATCAACTTAAATCTCACAAAACACCATAAATCTACAACAAGCTTACCAAAGAAGCCAAAAGCTAAAAAACTAATATAATTCCCATTATAAACAGATATATTACAATGACGGCCACTCTCATTGTGACGTTAATAGTAAGCGATTTGCTGACAGTGGCCTGCGCAATATCATACCTGTTATTCTTTGTACCATGTACTACAAAGCGAGTGAGGATTCTAAAGGGAAGTGAAGCTGCCTTCAGTCTCCGCGCACTTGTCAGCCAGAGCTATCACCATGATACAAAGAAAAGAAGATATGATTTTGCGCATGAGGGCGGAGTTGTCGTTTATAGTGTGACGTAATGTGGAGAGGTAAAGCGTAACCTCAACCTCTAGTATTTGTATTGTTAGCGAAATGTAGAATTGTCATTTTTCGTTGTACCATGAACTATCACCAACGTTTCTACATTCTTCGCGCACTTGTCGTGTCGACCTGACCTATCATCATCAATGGTGCTACAACTCTTCGTGAGTCTTTGCCGCATTTACTATTGCCTTCTATGTTTGTCGGTCCTGTGCCAGTAATTCCCATTGTCGCACTCCCATTTTCTCTAGATCTTCTTTGACTGCATCTTTCCACCTTTTTCTAGGCCGCCCTACAGACCTTCTTCCATCTGGCCTTTCCCAGAACACATTGTTTATAAGGCGGTTGTCGTTACTGCATATCACATGCCCTGCCCACCTGAGTCTATTGGCCTTTATCTATCTGACAAGATTTTCTTTTCCGAATAGAGACTAGCTCGTTAATGTATCTGCCCCTCCATTCGTTTGTCACGCTGTCTCTGCAAAGGCCATATATCATTCGAAGAATTTTACGTTCCCACACCAGCAATTTATTTACTTCTCTTTTTGTTAGCGTCCATGTTTCGCTTCCATACGCGACTGCTGGTCGTATTATGGCCTTACATATCCGGATTTTTGTACCTCGTGAAAGAAGTTTTGACTTCATTAGATGTTGCATTGCAAAGAAAGATCTGTTTCCTGAAATTATTCTCGTTTCAACTTCTCGCTCTAATTTGTTGTCATTTGTGATTGTTGCTCCTAGATATTTAAATTCTTTAACCACTTCGAAGTTGTGATCATTTATAGTAATGTTTTGCCTTATTCGCCGTCGTTCTTGTTTTGAGACGACCATGTATTTTGTTTTGTCTTGTTTTGTTTTTGTTCTGTGACCAGACCTATAACTCCTCATAATATCTTGGCTGCCTATTGCGCGGAGGCCCCAAGTGGGGCCCGACACGACAAATCGCTCAGATTTCACAACTTCAAAAAATGATTTGCACGTACCCTCTTGCCTGCGTGATCGTTGTCACTGAACTAAAAGGTTTAAGGTACTGGAAATACAAGCGATGTATGTACAGAAGCGCGTGAGTACACATCGATTACATTTTTTACCGGTCATCGGCGACGCCACGTTGTTGTTCTAGGGTTAAGCATTTCTTATATTTTAAGAATTATGTATTTTATGTGATATTTTGTGTTTTAGCTTGAGATGAGAAAAATGGTATTGGACAGAATGGTAAATCTTCTTTGTTCAGGATGTGTTGTGCCAGTAGTGAAATATATTAAACAGTGTTGGCAGCGAGGTGATACAGATATTTCGTTGATAAGATATTTTGTTACCGAAGTGAGTATATTATTCTTATTTTATAATATCTATAGAACCATCAAATAATAAATATAGAACCATAGAAAAAATCGTAATTAGGGTAAACCCTGCGTTCTCTTGCTTATGCAGCTTGTTTGTACTGTAGTCGCAATGTTTATGGCTTCACATTGTTAATGTAAACGCAAGTTTGATTAGACACATATTTTTACAATTTTCTTTGAGAAAATTTAAAAAAAAAAAGGTACAAAATGTAAAAATTATCGAATATTCCTTCATTTTACCATTCCTTTATGTACCAATTTTAAGGTACAGTTACTGCTGCACAAAATCACAATCAAATACTTAAGTTTATTCATAAATCAACTTATAGTGAGGAATTATAAAATTAGCATTACTAATAATCGTCTAACAACACTCAACCAGAGAAGCAATTCAATATCAGAGTTTTTTTTTATATTTTTGTTGATTTTTGTAGAATTTCTTTTGTTTGTTGTATGTTATTGAAGCTGGATGCTGAGGTTTAAACATTGTTCTTTTTCTTAAAAAAAAAAGTAATTCATTCAGCATTTAATGTTAAGGAGTGCCCTTAATTTTCATAGAAGATTGAGAAAATTTACAGTAAATAATAGTAAAAAATGACAAGTTTCATGAAATTAATTAAGGATGTTCAATGTCATAGTCAGGGTATAAGACTTATTAGAATGTTTTTCTCATATGGTTATTTTTATTGTCTCTTTTTACTAAAGATTATTTTTGGAAAATGTAATTTTTCACATATGTTATTTTCCATTATTTAGGTGTTAGAAACAATTGGACCCCCATACAGTTCGGAGTTTGTTCATTTATTCATGCCTATGGTAGAAAATGATGAAATTACTGGCACTATGAGAGGAGATGGTGAAAATGATCCAGTATCTGAGTTTATAGGTATGTAATACATTAATGAACTTTGATAACCTTTTATTTTTAAGTTCGATCCACGTTATAATATTTATGTATAAAATAATAAATGTATGTATATATAAAATAATAATTTACTCAAATATCATTGAAAAAATCAATATGCCAAGCAACCTTTAGTTTATGGCGTAAACATGACTGTTAGGGACTGCTTTTATAGTTTCCGTAGTTCTTGTGTGTATATCTATTATTATTACACAGTTTTGAGTAATATAAACTCACCTAAAATTCTGCAAACATTTATTGTATTTTTATCAACGAACTGCCAAACAACTCCAATAGTCATTGTAAGGAACTCATATTAAAAACTGATAAGAGTTCAATGACAATATATCCCAATAAAGTACTGCCTCCTAGTGGGGGGATACGGGCAACAATGCATTGGCTTATAGAGCAGTCCTTTTTTGTTACTATTATTATCCAGATTTAGTCATACTGATCTCACCCCCCCACCCTCCAAAGTAGAAAAGTCACTCATCCCAGATATCTACGATATCAAAAGAAAAAAGTTCTGGTGACGTGCCCTGGCGACCCTAAACATAAATTATTAATCAACCTGCTACCCTTTGGGTATCGGTACTACGAATACTCAGAGAGCATCCCCCATTCGCAGATGAGTGCACCCAATAAAAGAACCTACAAAAACTCCCACTGGTTATTATTATTATTATATCCGATATTTGCATATTCTTCCGGTGTTCATAGTAGTTGTTTCTGAAGCTTATGTAATTAATATTATATATCTGTATTTTTATTATCATATATTTATTTTCCTTTTTCTTTCAGTTTATTGTAAAGCAAATTACACAACAGTTATTTAGCAGTTACAAGAAGAAAGGCTGAGGACGAAGAAAGAAAAATACTTTGGTTTTGTAGTGAACAAAATATGAACATAACATGTTTTTAGGGCGGTTGTTAAGAACAGGAGTTTATTTTTATTGGTACCAACAGAAGTTGGTAAAGTGTAAATATTTTCTACTGAAATATGTATTTTGTATGTAAAATTATTTTCAAAAATATAAGTAATCTTGGTAAATTTTATTTTAGTTTTCCATCATTATGTGTACCATCCAGAAAACCATCCAAATGTCCTGACAATAAACTTGCTTGATAACAGTCAACTCAAAACTAAAACAAAAAACCATTAGACCTAATTTATAAATAAGTGTTCTAACTCACCGTAATTGTGTATATATATATATATATATATATATATATATATATATATATATATATATATATATATATATTGGATATAGTAAATGTGAAGTGTATGTATATAGCATATTATCGGAATGCCATGTTTGTTCCATACCAAAGCTCCAGTCATGGGACTGACCTCTTTAAAGTCAATTTATATTTCGATCCCCAAAGACGCGTTTTATTAGAACGTTTATAACTAAGAGAGAGAGAGAGAGAGAAAGAAATTTATTGTTTTTAAAATGAGTTTACATTTATAAAACACAACATGGTATAGTACAAACTAGACACAAAATACATTAAAATACCAATTATAAAATTTCCATAATTAAATATATCAATTGGCGCAACTGTCCTCAAAAAATTCCTCTATATTATAGCAACATTTAGATAATAAAAACTTCTTGATTGCTCTTCGGAATACAAAAATATTGCTTGAGGATCTTATATCGTGTGGTGGGTGATAAACACTTTCTTACCAGTGTAAATAAATGATTTCTTAATTAATGTAGAAGAGGGAATTGGAAGTGGAATAACATAATTTAGACGAGTGTTGTAAGGGGAACCCGTCCGAATATTCTCTTTATGTTTTTTTTTAAATTAAGCTGTCAATTATTATGTCAAGATACCATGTTTCCGGAACAGAGGTCTGCATAATGTACAAAACTTGACCTTGCATAAATAAGTGAGTGCTCTCATTTGCAGCATAAAATTTCTACTGAAATAATGAAGAGAGCAGCTACCCCAAAAGGCAATACCGTATCTCAAATTGGATTCAATCAGGGCCACATAAACACTTTTTGCAACCTTGAAATTTAAATGGTGAGTAACTGATTTAACCGCAAAGCAATCCTGTATTCTTAAACATACAGTGTGTTGCTCAAATTTAAGTTTATTATCAATATAGATACCTAAAAATTTGTTTACGATGTCGGAACAAATGCCTCCATTGTCCAGAGTAATGTGAAGATCATTCTTAAAAGAAATTAATTTGGTTTTTAAAAAATTAAATGTCAAATGATTAGCTGTGCACCACTCTAAGATTTTTAACATATCACTGCTAATAATCTTGTTCAGTGTCTTAGAGTCCTTGTTTTGCCATAAAATTGTGGTGTCATCTGCAAATATAGTAAACCGGCCATTAATGTTGATGTTAGTTATGCCGTTAAAATATATCAAGAAAACGATAGAACCCAAGACGGAGCCCTTGAGGTACTCCACAATTAATAAAGATATTACTAGAATAACGCTCATTGATTGATACAGACTGGCATCTGTCTTCCAAGTATGAACTGAACCACTTTAGAGCACATATAGTCTATAAAACCATATCTTTCTAGTTTATTAAGAAGTATTTTGTGATTGACACAGTAAAAGGCTTTAGATAGATCACAGAAAACTGCAGCAGCAACATAATCGTTATTTAAGTCCAAGTATAGTTTTCCATGATCGAAGATGGTATCATATGTACTTTTTAATGACTGTGTTTTTGTAAGAAAGTCATCATTCGGATTTTTACCAATTTTTCTACAACCTTTGAAAGCGACGGTAACAAAGAGATAGGACGATAATCAGCAGGTAAATCATGGTCACCACATTTATACAGAGGAATAACCTTAGCACATTTTAAACAATCGCTAAAGTGACCCGTTGAAAAAAATGTGCTTATTGCACCCGCTAAAATTTTCCGAACATCAGAAAGAAGGGATAAAACTTTAGATGGGATATCATCCCGTTCTGCAGCCATAATAGATTGCTAAATATACGTTATAAAAAATATTATGTGTACAGAAATGTACTATCAAAGTGATATTAAAGAAAAGTGGCACACAGAAAATATTTTAATTTGACAATTGATAACAATTTACATACAGAAAATCTGATAGGTATAGCCTCGGTGCAGGTTTGAATCACATTACGGCGTCAAAATGTAATCTGCAAAAATCTTCTGATTGGCTGAAATCCACCTTTATTAGTTTCAGAAACGGGTTGGGAATACGTGATGCTTTGTCTCTCGTGATGAAACATTGATATATTGGACAAACCAATCAACGGTATGGATGTTTTAAGAAGAGCCAAAGCCAACAAAGGCAGTCCGAGCTGGCAGAGTTGGCAAACATGTGGTCGCAAGTTTTTTTTGTAAAAAGGGACATATTGCCACGAATTCGTTAGGAAATGGTAGCACCGCCAATGCTGAATAGTATTCGACCATTTGTTTACCAGAAGTGATTGCTAAACTCGGCAAAAACGACCGGGATCGTCGCATTCTATTCTATACAATTGTTCTCGGACGCGACTAGTTCACGTTCGAGACGCCCCGCCCCTTATTTTTCCCGTTGGCCCCTCCCTGACCTGGAAATCCCTAATCGCTACTTCGGAAAGTATAAAAATAGGTGATTTTCAGGTCAATAAGTCAGTCCTTCACGGGCTCTCCGAGAGTTTAGTGCTCTCGGGGCTCTGCTTCCTTTTTAGCTTTCCATACTCTGTGGCTGAGTATTTATTTAACTACAATTTGGTTCTTTATTTCAACTTAATATTGTTCATGTAAGAAATAACTTGCCTTTTTCAAGGCAAGTCACCAAAGAAGACAACCTGATGGTTTATTTCAACGGAGAATTTTCGTCATGTAAGAAATAACTCGTCTTTCTCAAGACGAGTCATCAGATGAGAAAACTTTTACAAGTCCATAACCTGTAAGTGGACTTGAGTAGAGGTGCTTTCGTTGACGTCTCCGAAGCCCTCTACATTGCACCCGGAGGCAATAGAAGGAGTTCAAGGCCGCTATTTTATTTCCCCGGGTAGAGGTGCTTTCGTTGACGTCTCCGAAGCCCTCTACAGAGCACCCGGAGGCAATAGAAGGAGTTCAAGGCCGCTATTTTATTTCCCCCGAGGTGACACAATGCCAGCTCTTACACGGCTTCTATAACACCACGGAGTATTTGAAGGAGAAAAACATTGATTTGGTAGACCATTCTGCATATAGTCCAGACCTGACAATGTTTGATTTCTTTACGTTCACAAGAATCAAAAAGAAACTACGCGGTAAACCTTTTAATACGCCAATTGAGGCGTTTGAAGGATACAAAATTCTCATTTCTGTGATACTTATTTTTAACTGGCATAAATGCTTCGACGATTTGTTTGTTCAAATTCAAAAGTTTATTGATTTAGTGAGTTAAAAAACGCCAATTTAGTAGGTTTTGCATTTTAACAGATGGCGACACTGAACAACATCAATTTCAGTTGAACAGCTGAGTTTGCCACTTTTCAAAGAGGTGATTAACTTTTTGTAATAAGGTAAGAAAAAATCAATTAAATAAATAGATAATTAGTAATAAAATAGCTTAGGGTGTATACTTAACACAAATACTTGGCAAAGTTATTATAACATACTAGTAATTTGATTTGAATGTTGTTTTGTAAAACCTAACACCAATTCCGTTTCTATTGACCCGCAGTTTTTAATCACCCGTCGTTTGTTTTCACCCACTGTTGTATTTCCACTCACTTTCTTTTTTTCTACAGTATTTTTTATTTTGCTTTCAGCTTAATTATGCCACGAGATTATGTACATAATCCAAGGTCCAAGTTTTGCAAAAAAAAACAATCGTGAGGCTCTTGAAAGGGCCTTAGTCGACATAAGAAATTAAATGTCCTATAGTGAGTCAAGCAAAGTACATGAAATTAACTATTCAGTGGTCTTTATGCTCCACAAAAACCCTAACTTAAAAACACCTGGAAGACAAACTACAGTAACAAAGTTGGAAGTTATACTTAAACAATTGATAACTTGTGCTGATTGTGGCTATCACTTATATAAATACGATCTTAGAGTAATGGTAAAAACATACCTAGATAGTCGGGGTAAAAATGTACCAAGTTTAACAACAACTTACCGGGACAAGATTTTGTACATGGGTTTTTGAAGCGACATACATAAGATACGACTACGAACTTGGCTTTCTCAAAATATTAAACGATCTCGAGCAGCAGTTTCACTCGAGACTTTAAATGTGTATTTTGATCACCTGTGTGCAGAACTAGAAGGTATACCGCCGTCTAATATTGTAAACTTCGATGAGACATGTTTACGGCAACTGCTGATGGCAAGGTGCTACCTCCGTACATCGTGTATAAGGCTTAAAACATGTACGAATCATGGACAGTTGGCGGGGTAAAAGGTGAGAGGTACAATCGTAGCCCTAGCCCTAGCGGTTGGTTTGATGCTATAAACTTCGGTGATTGGGTTACCAAACTAGCAATTCCAGCACTTCAGGACTTGCCAGGAAAAATTCTAACCGGCGACAACATCTCAAGCCAAGTTAGTCCCAAAACTGTAACCGAGTGCTTAGAACATATCTCATTCATTTTTTTTTTGCCGTCAAATTCTACGCATATGACCCAGCCCCTTGATGTGGCTTTTTTCGCCCTTTAAAAGAAACATGGCGAAAAAGTCTTGAAATGTGGAAACTAGGTGAAGGAAGAAGGGCAGCTACCATACCCAAAGATCGCCCTCATTTTGTTAGAGTTGAAGGACAGTATCAGACCCAACCGAGAAAAATATTATTAAGTCTGGTTTTAGAAAATGTGGGATCTACCCGTTAGACCGTGATCAAGTCATAAACCGACTCCCTAGTGCCAACACTGCAAATGTTCAAGAAGTAGAAGAACATGTTAGCAATGTAGTGGTTAATATGCCGAAATCCATGAGATATTCTGATACTACGACACAACAACAAAAGAGAAAGAAGGTCGCCGTAGTAGCTGGTAAAAGTGTAACTATGACTATGAAGTCACTTCATAGTCATATTGAATTTACAATAGAAACAGAACAAA